CTTAGTAAAGAACCACGCACAAGAACAGTTAGATAACAAGAATCAAAAGTCAAACTTCAGAGAAAATTGGCATCTAATTTGCCTCTTCTTTCCCTCAATCCTTGCTTGGGGGCCGCCGCTCCACGTTCCGAGTCCGAATCTTCTCCAGTAAGCGCTTCATCATCACTCCCCTTGTTGCTCTTCTCATCCTCTACTCCTGTTGGATCCAATTGTTGCTGCAGAAACTCTCTTGCTTTCATAACAGCGTCAATTTCCCCCCTCTTGTCTTTAAATTTGAAGAATATGCATTCAGGTACGATGCATTTGTAAGATATGTTGTTTTTTTGTAGAAAAAAAGCCAAGTCTCTGTATTTTTTCCTTTTTCCCCTTATTTCAAAGGGAATGTCTCTCAAAACTCTTATCTCCTTGCCATCAATTTTAAGGGTAGTTCCATTTGTTGCTTTTAATATCTGATCCCTCACTTGTCTTCTGGAGAATCTCACTTGGGGTGATTTTTTTTAAAAGGCCGCACCTACTGACAGGAAGTTCTGGCCATAGTGTTCCTAATGATGCCTAGAGCTACCCACAAGTGACCAAGGTAGCTTAACAATCACCAGAAAACCTTGTTACTTCCAGGTAGCTCTAGGAATATCCAGGAACTCTATGGTCAGAACTGCTGGTAAGTAGCTGAGGCCTTATTTTTCTTTTTTAATTTTTCTCCCGGGATGCTGGCCCTCCCACATCTCTAGTATATGCACATGCACTCGGGCGAGTAAAGGGGGAAGGGCTGCCCATTTGAGGAAGTCCAAAGTCTCCTCAGATATGGAGAGGTAGTTACACACCTCTCTGGATTAAACTTCTGGATTACAAGTTTATTTTTTGGGGGGTCCCCAGGGAATTACGTGATTTCAACCACTTTTGCAGAAATGAGAGACTACTAATTCATGTCTTTGGCCACAATGGATATTTTTCTTATGACCAAACTTTTGTAAAGCATGTGAATTGGGGAAAGATCCATGAAGCTAAGCAAAAGGACGAGGAATTTAGTGCGCCAACGTTCTAAGATTAATCCTGATGACAAGGATCAGGAGCCCCAACAAATCTGTTCATCTTGTTGGGAGCTCTGTGACTGGAGATACTTTTTGCCCCATTTGAAAAACTTCCGTGTGGGCCATTGGTAGACATGCAGATAGCACCTGGATATCTTCCGCTATTATAATCGATCTTCAAATGACCAATATCAGTTCCCCTGGAGAAAACGGCTGCTTTGGAGGGTGGGCTTTATAGCATTATATCCTGCTGAACCCCTCCCCAAAGCCCCTCCCCCAGGTTCCACAGACAAAATCTCCAGGTATTTCCCAACCCGGAGTTGGCAACCATAGCGTAACTCTCCCTCCCCTTGCTGATCCAAACTGGCACCCCCATGCCTGGTAATATAACTCAACGGGGGGCTCCCAGTGACCCTCTGCCTGATGGGGCTTGGGAACCAGCGCATCGTTTAGTCGGGTCCCGGAAGGGGGTACACCCAGATTCTCCAAGAATCTGTCCCTAATTAAATTAATTAATGTATCTCTTAGGTAACACTAGTGCACCCTCTCACACAGCTTGGGGGTGTCTACATAATGCATAGAAGCCATTCCGGGTTTTATTCTGGTTACAGTCCTCAAAGGCCTCAGACAGGCCTCCATCTCGGGAAGCCTAGCCTCCCGCCAAAAAGTGTGCTCAGCTGGCTTTTCTAGACAAGACAAATTTGCTTCTTGGCCACTAGATGGCAACCAACATGAAACATATATAACAGGCTGGCTAGGCTGTGACCTGGAGAGCCCAGGCCAGCTCCATCTCATTGGATCTCCGAAGTTAAGCAGGGTTTAGTACTGGGGTTACTGATAGGGTTCCCAAGTCCAAAATACTCACCGGCGGGGGAGCCTTGGCTGGCTCTGGGGCTTGGGAACCAGCACATCGTTTAGTGCATCCCCAGATGCACGCGCATGCATGTGCGCCGCCAGCACGTCACAGGAAGTGACGTGCAACGTCGACCACATTGAGGGTCTGGCCACGATCGTGGGAGGGAAAACCATAGAGTTTTCCCTGCCCGATCTGGGCCACGCCCCCAACGTGGTCGACGTGCACGTCACTTCCTGTGATGCTGCGCTTCGGGGGCGGAGTTCCCCCCGGGCCCCGATTCTGCGGCGGCGGAAATCGGGCCTCCAAAGGGGGGGTTTACCCGCCCCCCGCCTCCACTTGGCAGCCCTAGTTACTGAGCAGAAGCAGGCTATGGAAAACCACCTCTGAAGTCTCTTGGCTTGAAAAAACCGACAAAGTCAGCTGCGGTTTAATGGCCCTTTCCACCACCACGTCAACATCTTGAGTAGGTAACTTCTAAAAGACCTACC